AGCCATAACCCCCCAAAGCAAATCCTAACCATCCCTTTGTGGTATGGAAACTTGTAGTATAATTTCAGAGAGATCCATACACCGTTCCACAGTTATTGTCTGGAAACTAGAAAATGCTCATTTTTGGCCCCTTTTTGGCCCCTAATTCCTTAACTGTTGATACCATAACCCCCAAAATCAATCCCAACCTTCCTTTTGTGGTATTTAACCTTATGGTAAAATTTCAAAAAGATCCATTCACTTAAACTAAAGTTAGAGTGCGAAAACCAATATGTATTCGGACGACGACGCTGGACGACAACGCCGGACGACGACGACGACGCCAACGTCATACCAATATACGACCACAAAATTTTTTTGCGGTCGTATAAAAACAGGAACCAAAATTAAAAATCTAAATACACGGTTAAATTTGGCATGTCAAAGAACCCCAATAATTCAGTTTTTGATGAAATCAAAAGAAGTTTAATTTTGGAACCTTTTGACCTCAATATGAACAAATTTGATAGCGCGGTCCACAAATAAAAAATCTAAATAAATGGTTAGATTCAGCATATCAAAGAACCCCAATAATTCATTTTTTGATGAAATCAAACAAAGTTTAATTTTGGACCCTTTTGACCTCAATATGAACCAATTTGAAAGCGGGCCCACAAATAAAAAATCTAAATACATGGTTAGATTCAGCATATCAAAGAACCCCATATATTCAATTTTTGTTGAAATCAAACAAAGTTTAATTTTGGACCCCAATTTGGACCAACTTGAAAACTGGGCCAAAAATCAAAAATCTAAATACATGTTTAGATTCAGCATATCAAAGAACCCCAAGAATTCAATTTTTGTTACAATCAAACAAAGTTTAATCTTGGACCCTTTGGACCTTAATGTAGACCAATTTGAAAACTGGACCCAAAATTAAAAATCTAAATTCACGGTTAGATTCGGCATAACAAATAAATAAATGTGGTCAAAGATTTTACAAATCTAATGCGCCATACTGTGTAATTAAAGATTACTTCTTGAAATTTTTCAATATTTGAAATTTGAAAAAAAAAAAAATATTTGAAGAATAATTCTTTTTAATTTCTGAAATCTGAAATGAGAAAAAATTGACCCCCCACAATTTCTTTTTACCCCCCCCCCCCCCCCCCTTTTTCCCCAAAAAAATTCTTTCCCTCAAGATATGGTCATAATCTCAATTCAAATTTCCAATGGAGTTTGCAACCATAATTACCCATTTAAATTTACCATAGTGCTAACTTAATCTATTTTATAATAGAATTAAAAATATAGTGTCAAATCTTTCATATGGATTTTTTTGTAAAAAAAAGAAGATGCAACATTTGCAGATATTTTTACTGGTCTTCCTTTATAAATATGCATTTCTTTAAACATAATTTAAAAGCAGTGTAAGGGAAGTAACCAAAACGTTGTATTTGGATTACCTCCCTTACACTGTTTTAGATTATCTTTATTGTTCATTAACCATTACTTTATACATAATTTAAAAGCAGTGTAAGGGAGATAATTTCAATGATGTATTTGATTTATCTCCCTTACACTGCTTTAAATTATGTTTTGTACTAAAGTATTTGTCCATTAACCAGGACAACCTTGTTTTTCCCCCTTTTTTGCCCCTAATTCCTAAACGGTTTGAGCCATAACCCCCCAAAGCAAATCCTAACCATCCCTTTGTGTTATGGAAACTTGTAGTATAATTTCAGAGAGATCCATACACCGTTCCACAGTTATTGTCTGGAAACTAGAAAATGCTCATTTTTGGCCCCTTTTTGGCCCCTAATTCCTTAACTGTTGGTACCATAACCCCCAAAATCAATCCCAACCTTCCTTTTGTGGTATTTAACCTTATGGTCAAATTTCAAAAAGATCCATTCACTTAAACTAAAGTTAGAGTGCGAAAACCAATATGTATTCGGACGACGACGCCGGACGACGACGACGACGACGACGTCGACGCCAACGTCATACCAATATACGACCACAAAATTTTTTTGCGGTCGTATAAAAATTCACACACCTGATTAAATGGGCATTTAAAAAGTCAGAATGCGAATATATATGTTCAAACTCTTTCAGGTCATTTTTTAGTAAAAACAAACAAAAGAACTATGTCAATTGGACCTGCTTTGATACTATAACTGCCCTTAAATTTTTACTAGATAACATTTTTGTTCGCTATGGACATTCCGTATATCGTCAGGTTATCGGAATTCCAATGGAGACTAACTGTGCACCACTTATTGCGGATCTGTTTCTGTATTGTTATGAGTAACAATTTCTGACTAAAATCAGCAAAGACCCATCGAAACAACATCTGATTCAAAAATTTAATAACACTTTTAGATATTTAGATGATATATTGGTTCTCAATAATGACGACTTCAGTATGTACACTAAAGAGATTTATCCTGCTGAACTAACTTTGAATAAAGCTAATACTTCAATGAACACTGCCCTTTCCTGGATCTTTATATATTTATCTTAAACAGGAAGCTTAATACAAAAATTTATGATAAAACAGATGATTTTTCATTTCCTATTGTTAATTATCCATTTTTAGATGGTGATGTTCCCTTGCAGGAATAAACAACTGTGCCATGAGCGCATGATACGCCCGTCGCATTTTCAAAGAACATCCCTAAATTTTATCATCGGTACAAGGACATCATTCGTAAATATAAATCAACATGCAGACATCTTATACGTTCAGGTATTTCACATCCAATTTTTTATGGTAATATTCTTTACAAAGCACAAAAATGTCGGCATTCACCTCAAAAACTAACCAAACCTTTAAACAGACTTATTCGGAAAGGATATAGTTACAATACTGTTGTCAAGTCATTAAGGATTGCATATTTTGGTATAAATATTGATTCACTCATATTTGCATGGGAAATAAACACATTCATTCTAAAACCAGTTGTTGGCATGATACGGGTTATGTTCTTCTCATATATTTTATGATGGTATGATACTAAACCCGGCCCCCTAACGGGAGGGATTGTACTTGATTTTCATATGATGAAGTTATAATCTTTCAATCAGTTTAATTGAGGTCTGGAGCTGGCATGTCAGTAACTGCTAGTAGTCCTTTGTTCATTTATGTATCATTGTCATTTTGCTTAGTTTCTTTTGTTACCTATTCTGACATCGGACTTGGACTTCTTTTAAACTGAGTTTTACTGTGCGTATTGCTATGTGTTTCTTTATTCTACATTGGCTAGAGGTATAGGGGGACAGTTGAGATCTCACAAAACATGTTTAACCCCGCCACATTTTTGCCCCTGTCCCAAGTCAGGAGCCTCTGGCCTTTGTTAGTCTTGTATGTTTTTAAATTTTAGTTCATTTATATGGTTTGGAGTTTAGGGTGACGTCCATTTTCACTGAACTAGTACACAATTTTATTTAGGGGCCACCTGAGGACCACCTCCGGGTGCGGGATTTTCTCGCTGCATTGAAGACCCATTGGTTGCCTTCGGCTGTTGTGTGCTCTTTGGTCGGGTTGTTGTCTCTTTGACATATTCCCCATTTCCATTCTCAATTTTATCACTGACTTAACATCAGAGGTTTATCTTAAAATGAACTACTCCAGTAATTACAAACTTTCACATGTAAACTATGCCAAATAATCAAAGTCAATAGACCATGACTGAGGGGGAAGACCAAAATAATCATCTATGGAAATGAAATGTGACAAATCTGGCTAAATTCTTTCATAAATACAAAGATTTTGTTAGTTAGTTTGGCTGTACCTGTAGAATTCTTAACAAAAAATAAACTTATTCTTAAAAGTTATCAATTCAACACAGTAGTAAAAGCTTTAAAAATGGTTATTTATTGGTATTAATATTGATTTTGTTTTTGAAAAATGTATATTGCTATATATGTACAGTTATAATAACTCATTGTCCTACATCCTGTTGATACTGTTTACTTATACTTTGGCATTGCACAACATCATGCATTTCTCATACTATTTATGACTTCTTTACACTAAATCTGTTGGATGTATACTGACTGACAGTTTAGTCTGGGAGAACATGATTTATTTATTAGTTGTAATTGGCTTTGAACTAGCTCTCAGTAACTGCAAGTACTCTTATTTCAGTGTTTTGTTTCTATCGTTTTTATGTTAGTTGTTTTTGTGCCTTGTACTGATCTTTTGAGTTAAGCCAAATGCTACTAATTTTTACAGTTTGTTCTTATGTTGTGCTGTTACACCACTGTCCCAGGTTAAGGGGGATGGTTCAGCACTCACAAACATGTTTAACCATGGCACATTCTTTATGAGCTTGTCTCAAGTCAGGAGCCTGTAGTTCAGTGGTTGCCATTGTTCATGTCTGTTCTATTGGTTTTTGTAAATTGTTTTGTTATAAAAGAGAGGCGTAAAAACCGAAGGGAAATTCAAACTCATAAATTGAAAATAAACTGACAACCCCATGGCAAAAAAAGAGAAAGACAAACAAGAGTATAAAAAACACTACCTAGAAAACTAAAGACTGAGCAACACCAACCCCACCAAAAACCAGGGGTGATCTCAGGTGCTCCAGAAGGAGTAAGTTAATATGCCTCTCGACATTTTGACGTGGAGGCATAAAAACATTTTTTACAATTATTTGCTGAACAATGAAAATAAGGGTTTTTCTCATTGTTGAAGGCCGTAGGGTTGCCTATATCCACTTTATTTGAACTTTGGTGGATAGTTGTCTTATTGGCAATCTTACCTCATCTCCTTATTTTTATATCAAGGACTATGGACAAATGACAGATGGAAACTTATTTACATAAGGCATCTTTATAAAAGGTATGAAGAATCCAGGTCTCTACCTTCTGAATATAAAGCTTTACAAATTGTTTAAGCCCACTGCCGCAGCCACTGCCAGATAGTAATCCCTCTTTCTCGCATTCTATGACTTTTGTCCCAAGCAGACAATAATTAGTATTATGTGGCATAATTCAACATATTCATTCACCTGTGTTAATGTGCATGTGTGATCTTCCCCACAGGAAACAAACACTGTTCTCTGTTGTCGTAAAGATTTACACTGGGTCGGATGATTACGATCTGCAAATATTCAGACAGCTGATAGATAATGTTCTGTCAAAATTTAAAGGTGTTCATGGAAGTGCCTCTCTTATATGTTGAAATATACATGCATTATGTTTTTTTAAGTAGTATGTGGTAGGGTGTAATTTTCCAACTTTAAACAAGGCAACTACCTGCAATGATGCTGAATTAACATATTTCCTTTTTTAATTTATTAAATGTTGGAAATTAAAGATTATCAGGAAAGTTTTTATTATATTTTATTCTTTGAGCTATATTTATGACATACATGTACTTCCCTAAATACTTCTCTTCTTGCATTATTTCAAATATGTAAAGATTATGAATTTTTCAGCACACTGTTAACATAATTATCAGCCTCAAGCCATGTGAACGAGATGAAAAAGGTGACTGAAATTCTACCATATATATGGATAGAAAATCTGACTTTCTTTGTGGTTTTCAATTTGACCTACTTTCTTCTTTAAATTGTTACAGCTGTGTGTTCTATGGGATTAATTATCTATATATATTGGTCTGATCAAACATCATGATCTCTGTGCAAAATTCAGATCTTCATATTAATCTTAATTCAAATTCAAAGCCAAAATTTCAAACATTCTCATAATAAAATGTATTTGCAAAATCAAAATTGTGAATAGTCTGGTTTGTCAAAGAAATGTCTGTCCTATTTTTCATTAACACTCTACTGTCTTACCATTCTCATCATTCACACCAAGTTGTCCAAAGCTGAAAGAAATATATTTAACATTTTACAGGTTTTAAACAAATTATTATCCTCAACGAACTAGAAAACTGAGATATCAACAAAGGCCCTGCTTGTATATTTGTGTGATGCAAACAAGCAAATAATTTATACTGTTGCAAACAAAGCAATGCAACAACTAGATAGGAAGTTTTTTTCCAAAATTAAACAGCCAAATTTTTCCAAAAAATAAAGTGCATATCTTCATATTATGCACAATGTTTGTGCAAAATGTCATTGGCCTCCCTCCCATAAGAATAGCATTTTATTTTGACTCAAAACAAGTTTTTAATACAAATTCACACATGGAATCAATTTGGAATAGTATATTGTACCTATATAAATTTTCATTGTAATAATAGCACAGAAAGAAGTTTCACAAAATTTATGATAAAATTTGTGATTTTTTTCCCAAATTTATTAGCCGAATTTCGCAAAAATAATATGCACACCTAAATATTATGCACAACAACTATACAAAATTTCAATGGCCTCTTACCTATAATTTTGGAGTTTTTGCGTTTAAAAAACTGTTAACAGACAGACGGAGAGACGGACAGAGGGACAAAGTGAAAACTATAGGGCTCCTGCATCCTAGATGCAGGGCCCTACTGTGCCCTAATAATACATGAATAAAACAGGACTTTTGTTTTAACTGAATACATTTATTACATTTAGTACAAGGTGTGATGCACAATTTCTTACAATTGTTACATTTTATTAGATTAACACTGGAAAGTTTTTTATCCTTTTTTATATACTATGTGATCAGTAATTTATACATTCTACTGTATGCTATACACACTTTAATAATAAGTCTTTATCTATCAAATCTAGCAAGTTTGGTAAATAATTTTTAATCACTGCATACCACTTATTGAGAATTTTTCTTTTCTTTAATTTTCACTGTATTTGAGTGGGACATTTAGTGAAAAAATTTCACTGCTATGAAAATTTGAGGTAATCATAATCACAGATGATATTTAACCCAGCTGTAAATAAATGATTAAAAAGTCAGAGAGAAAATAACAGACTATCATATACATTAATCACATATAACTTTCGGCACACATGGATGTCACAACTTCCCTATTCTAATTCAGTCTTATCATCATGATCATAACCACATCAGTTTTTTTAAACGTAAAAACTCCAAAAGTATAGGTAAGAGGCCAATGAAATTTTGTACAGTTGTTGTGCATAATATTTAGGTGTGCATATTATATTTTGGCGAAATTCGGCTAATTAATTTGGGGAAAAAAAATCACAAATTTTATCATAAATTTTGTGAAACTTCTTTCTGTACTATTATTACAATGAAAATTTTTATATAGGTATATTCTTGGACCTCATTCCTATCCACATTAAATTTTTCACTTCAAATACTGATTTGTTTTTTTTGCTGTGCACGTACTGATTTTGTGTCATGGATGGATACCCCATATCCTTTGTTTTTTCTATAATTATATACTATTCCAAATTGATTCCATGTGTGAATTTGTATTTAAAACTTGTTTTGAGTCAAAATAAAATGCTATTCTTATGGAAGGGAGGTCAATGACATTTTGCACAAACATTGTGTATAATACGTAGATATGCATATTAATTTTTGGAAAAATTTGGCTGTTTAATTTTGGAAAAAAACTTCCTATCTAGTTGTTGCATTGCTTTGTTTGCAAAGGTATAAATTATTTGCTTGATTGCATCACACAAATATACAAGCAGGGCCCTTGTTGATATCTCAGTTTTCTAGTTCAGTGAGGATAATAATTTGTTTAAAACCTGTAAGTATTAAATTCAAACATATCATAACCACACCACAGCTTAAGGCCTCTTCTGAACATTTGAAGGTCCCTATTATGTATTGGTTACCTAAACTACACAAAAAACCAGTAAAATATCGTTTCATCTCGGCCTGTAGTAAGTGTTCTACAACTAATCTTTCAGTACTTTTTAACTAGTTCCTTAATTACTATCAAAGAACTTATATTTAACTATTGTAATAAAATATATGAAAATAGTGGAATTAACTATTTTTGGAGTGTAAATAATTCTTTGGATGTTTTAGATAAATTACGTGCTTTTGATGGTATTTTTTATTCTGTTGACAGTTTTGACTTTTCAACTCTTTACACTACACTTCCACACTATCTTATCAAACAAAAGTTTTCCTATTTAATTAAATCATAGTTTGGTAAATCTGAATGCAAATATATTTTCTGCAACTCATTTAAAGCCTTCTTCTCTAATGAGAAAGGTAAATATGCTAGATATACTTACTGGAGGTGTAGTGAGATGATTGAAGCTGTTAATTTTCTCCTTGATAATATTTAAGTACGTTTCGGCAATAAAGTTTAACGACAGGTTGTTGGTATTCCTATGGGCACCAATTGCGCCCCTTTAATAGCAGACTTGTTCTTGCACTGTTATGAATCACAGTTTATGACCAAACTCAGTAAAGACCCGTCTAAATTGCATCTAATTGATAAATTCAACAACACTTACCGTAATCTTGATATATTTTTTTTAAATAATCAAGAATTTTCTAAATATACTGCCGAAATTTACCCAAAGGCACTTACTTTAAATAAATCAAATATAAACGGTAATAACATCCTTTCCTAGATTTAGATATTTCAGTTTTACACGGGAAACTCCATACTAAAATTTACGACAAAAGGGATGATTTTTAGTTCCCTTTTGTTAATTTTCCTTTTTTGGACAGTGATTTCCTTTGACACCATCTTACGGTGTTTATATATCACAACTCGTTCGCTATGCCCGTGTCTATTGTGACGTTTTGGATTTCAATGAACGTAATCTATGTATTACTGGTAAATTATTAAGTCAGGGATTTCGGTACCACAAATTACTTAAAACCTTGACTAAATTCTTCCAAAGATATTAAGATTTGGTTTTGAAGTTTGGTTGTACCTGTAAATAAAATGCTTCGCAGAGCGCAGCCTGATACGACCGCAGAGGTCGAACCTTGACCAGTTGGGGCAAGTTTGGACACAATATTCAAGCTTGATACTGTCTGAATTTGGATTGTGATCAAATTTTTGACATAATATAGGTTTCTGACACAAAATAAATGTGGTCAAAGAGCTTAAAAATTTGAAATGGGACATTCATTTTACCTAGAATGGTCTGATATCCAAAATCTAACAACATGGTTAGATTCAGCATATAAAAAAACACCAAAAAATTTAATTTTAGTTGAAATCAATCAAAAGTTTAATTTTGGACCCTTCAAACCTTAATATGGACTAATTTGAAAACAGGGCCCAAAATAAAAAATCTAAATACACAATAAGATTCAGCATATCATACAGCTGCAATCATTCAGTTTTTGATGAAATCAAACAAAATTTAATTTTGGACCCTTTTGACCTCAATGTAGACCAATTTAAAAATGGGGCCCAATATCCAAAAAAGTAATACAAGGTAAGAACCCCCAAAAATTAAAGACTTTAAATGAATCCCATTGAAATTGGTTAAAAGATTTGTATTTATTTTCAATTGAAGATTTCTTGCTATTGCACAATACTGTGCAATTGAAGATTTCTTGCTATTGCGCAATACTGTGTAATTGAAGATTTCTTGCTATTGCGCAATACTGTGCTATTGTGTAATACTGTGCTATTGCGCAATACTGTGCAATTAAAGATTTCTTGCTTTTGCGCAATACTATGCAATTGAAGATTTCTTGCTATTGCCCAATACTGTGAAATTGCGCAATACTGTGCAATTGGAGATTTCTTGTTATTGCGCAATACTGTGCAATTGAAGATTACAAAAACTTTGAAGAAAAAAAATATGAACCCCAAAAAATTGGGGAAAAAAATCCCCCCCCCCTTTTTCCACCCCCCCCCCCCCCCCCCCAGTACAATTTTAGAGAGATCCATACACTTACACACAAGTTATTGTCTGGAAACTAGAAAAAATACAATGAAGTTTATTAAACTAAAGTTATTGGCAAATTTCCAATGAAATTTATTAAAAATAAAGTTTTGGGCAAATTTCCAATGAAGTTCATTAAACTAAAGTTATTGGCAAATTTCCAATGAAATTTATTAAAAATAAAGTTTTTGGCAAATTTCCAATATACATAATTTAAAAGCAGTTTAGGTGAGATAAACAAAAAAGCTCCATCAGCAACATTTTATATTGGCAAATTTCCAATGAAGTTCATTAAACTAAAGTACTTGGCAAATTTCCAATGGAATTTATTAATAATAAAGTTTTTGGCAAATTTCCAATATACATAATTTAAAAGCAGTTTAGGTGAGATATTCAAATGAGTTTCAATTACCAACCTTACACTGCCTTTTAAATTATGTTTTGTACTTAAGTAATTGTCCATTAACCTGGAAACCCTTTTCCCCCCTTTTTTGCACCTTATTCCTTAACGGTTTGAGCCATAACTCCCAAAGACAATTCTTACCATCCCTTTGTGGTATTCCAATATCCAAAATCTAAATCCATGGTTAGATTCAGCATATCAAAGAACCCCAAGAATTCAATTTTTGATGAAATCAAATAAAGTTCAATTTTGGACCCTTTAAACCTCAATGTGAACCAATTTGATAACGGGGCCCAAATATCAAAAATCTAAATATATGGTTAGATTCAGCATATCGAAGAACCCCTTATATTCAATTTTTGTTGAAATTAAACAAAGTTTAATTTTGGACCCCGATTTGGACCAACTTGAATACTGGGCCCATAATAAAAAAACTAAGTACATGTTTAGATTCAGCATATCAAAGAACCCCAAGAATTCAATTTTTGTTAAAATCAAACTAAGTTTAATTTTGGACCCTTTGGACCTTAATGTAGACCAATTCGAAAACAGGACCAAAAATTAAGAATCTAAATACACGGTTAGATTAGGCAATTACCCCCAAAATCAATCCCAGCCTTCCCTTTGTGGTATGGTACCTTGCAGTACAATTTCAGAGAGATCCATACACTTGAACACAAGTTATTGTCTGGAAACTAGAAAAATGCTTATTTTTCGACCCTTCTTAGCCCCTTATTCCTAAACGTTTTCGGCAATTACACCAAAACTCAATTCCAGCTTTCCCTTTGTGATATGGAACCTTGTAGTACAATTTCAGAAAGATCCATACACTTACACACAAGTTATTGTCATGAAACTGGAAAAATGCTTGTTTTTTGCCCCTTTTTTGGCCCCTAATTCCTAATATTTTGAGGCAATTACCCCCAAAATCAATCCCAGCATTCCCTGTGTGATATGGATACTTGTGGTACAATTTCACAGCGATCCATACACTTGAACACAAGTTATTGTCTGGAAACTAGAAAAATGATTATTTTTGGACCCTTTTTGGCCCCTTATTCCTAAACGTTTTGGGCTATTACCCCCAAACTCAATTCCAGCTTTCCCTTTGTGATATGGAACCTTGTAGTACAATTTCAGAAAGATCCATACACTTACACACAAGTTATTGTCATGAAACTGGAAAAATGCTTGTTTTTTGCCCCTTTTTTGGCCCCTAATTCCTAATATTTTTAGGCAATTACCCCCAAAATCAATCCCAGCATTCCCTGTGTGATATGGAACCTTGTGGTACAATGTCAGAGAGATTCATACACTAACACACAAGTTATGTCTGGAAGTTACAAAAATGCTTATTTTTGGCCCCTAATTCCTTAACTGGTGGTACCATAACCCCCAAAATCAATCCCAACCTTCCTTTTGTGGTATTGAACCTTATGGTAAAATTTCATAGAGATTCATTCACTTAAACTAAAGTTAGAGTGCGAAAACCAATGTGTCTTCGGACGACGTCGGACGACGACGACGACGACGACGCCAACGTCATACCAATATACGACCGCAAAAATTTTTTGCGGTCGTATAAAAACTTATTTCAAACGGAATAGCACATCCTCATTTTTATGGAGATGTTCATTACCGAGCCCTGAAATTTGGAAACAATCTGGGTAAACTTATCGATCCTTTAAATAAACGTTTTCTAAAAGGTTACCAATTCAACACTCTAATAAGATCTTTGAATATTGTTTTTATTGGTATTAATATTTTTGTTATCAGTAAATTAAAATCAAACTAAATATTATTTATAAATACATATGCACATTCATGGCTCTACAATCTGTCGATACCTGTAACTTGGCATTGTACAAGGTCATGTTTTTCTCTGACTGTTTATGACGTCTTTACACTAAATCCGTTGGATGTGTACTGATTGATATTTTAGTCTTAGATGCATGATTTTTTTATTAGTTGTTATTGACTTTGAACTAGCTGTCAGTAACTGTGAGTACTCTCAGATCTGTACTTAATGTTTTTTTTTTTGCTGTGGGTATGTATAAGTACCCGTCCACGTCCACTCTGTGTTTTTGTTAGATGTATTTCTATTTGTATCCATCTGATGAGTTAAGCCTTTTTCAACTGTTTTTTATAGTTTATTCTTATGTTGTACTGTTACACCACTGTCCCAGGTTAGGGGCAGGGTTTGCGCCTTCAAACAAGTTTAACCCCGCCACATTCTGTATGTGCCTGTCCCAAGTCAGGAGCCTGTAATTCAGTGGTTGTCTTTTGTTGATGTGTAACATATTTGGTTTTGGTTCATTATTTTGTACATAAATTAGGCTGTTAGTTTTCTCATTTGATTTGCTTTACATTTGTCATTTCATGGGCCTTTTATAGCTGACTATGTGGTATGGGCTTTGCTCATTGTTGAAGGCCGTACAGTGACCTATAGTTGTTAATTTCTGTGTCATTTGGTCTCTTGTGAAGAGTTGTCTCATTGGCAATCATACCACATCTTATTTTATATAAATCGTAAGGTTTACTATACATGGTCCATTTACTTTATTACCATTTTTGTATTCCTGACTCTTGCTACTCATGGATATGACATAGGAATCACATGAATAAGATACTTAATCTGTCAGTGTACCTGGTCTCAGTGAGATTATCACTGTTTTTTTTCAGTGTGTTTTATGGAGACTCATATTTCAACTGACATTTGTGTACTATCTTCATTATGCTATACTAACCTATTTCATACTTTATACTGACCTATTTCTTCCCCATCCAAACAACCCACCAGACATAGACAAAATGAAACAATGGTTTCCTCCAGCTATAATCTGTGATACTGGTATCCCTCGTATACTAAGCAAGGGTTGGGGTGTATCCATGTGTTGTGAAGAACTACCTGTTCCCAACTGGCCATAATTATTTGCTCCCCAAGAAAAAACAAGACCATCTAAAAAATTAGCAATATGGTTTCAAAAAGCTTTAAACAATATACGTAGTTGTAATGATTCATGTTATGAAAAATTAAAGCATAGTTCAACTAATAATGAAATACTTTCCCATAATGTTTCCTTGTAAAATTTTTACAGGGCACTGTTTTTTCCAACCAACTTTCTTAATGACAAAACATGCAGTAAATGTACTTGAGATAAAAAAAAAAACTAGAAAGTAACCAGTAAATAGCATACCTGTCAACCTATGAAAATGAAAATGCAGGTCATCATGACCTGCATTGAAGAAGAAAATCTCAGATCATAACGTGTACGAACTTTTTTTCAGCTGAATATAAGTATTTAGGGGACATTTCTTTATATTTTAAATCGAACAGTTTCCAAAATATGTTCACATGGTTAAGTACTAACTGAAAATAATTTAATACTTTAATTTTAATTTTTCATTGCATAATAAGCCATTGAAATATTAATGTGTTATACTTTGTCATTTCAAGCCAAGCCATACCCCCTCTTCTTTTTTCATTCATTGTTTTATATCAATTCTCAACCTACTTGTTTTATTTTGCTTTTTTTATCTTAATTCTCAAGCTTCCTGTTTCGCAGTATGTATCATAATGTGCAGCTTGAAAAAGTTTGTTGATATTAATATATAATACAATAAAATGCTCCTGGGCGCAGCTTGATACGACTGCAGAGGTCGAACCCTGAACAGTTGGGGCAAGTATGGACACAACATTCAAGCTTGATACAGCACTGAATTTGGATTGTGATTAAATAGCATAGGTTTCTGACACAGAATGAATGTGGTCCAAGAACTTAAAAATTTTTAATTTACCTATTCAAACCATATCATTATTATTTGCTTTTATATATAAATCAGAAATAACCAACTTAAGATGGAAAATTTTAAAGAAAAAAAAAGGAAAAAAAGGAAAAAAAAATCCCCCCCAAATTTTTTGAACCCCCTAATGATTCATCATCCCCAAACTCAATCCCAGCCTTCCCTTTGTGGTATGGTACCTTGCAGTACAATTTCAGAGAGATCCATACACTTGGACACAAGTTATTGTCTGGAAACTAGAAAAATGCTTGTTTTTTGCCCCCTTTTTGGCCCCTAATTCCTAAAATTTTGAGGCAATTACCTCCAAAATCAATCCCAGCCTTCCCTTTGTGGTATGGTACCTTGCAGTACAATTTCAGAGCGATCCATATACTTGAACACAAGTTATTGTCTGGAAACTAGAAAAATGCTTATTTTTGGCCCCTTATTCCTAAGCGTTTTGGGCAATTACCCCCAAAGTCAATTCCAGCTTCCCTTTGTGATATGGAACCTCGTAGTACAATTTCATAAAGATCCATACACTTACGCACAAGTTATTGTCCTGAAACTAGAAAAATTCGTAAGGGTTCCGCGGAACCCAGTGTCTCGCCTACTTCTGCTGTTAATCACAGGCTCAACAAAAATGAGGAAAAAAATTAATAAAAATATTCCTCTCTATACTATCTTTTGATTGTAAGTAGCTTCTGTCCAAGTTTTGTAAAAATCCAGGATAGTTTATGAATCTAATAAATGTTTTAAAATAAAAACTTAAACTGCAGACTGTTATGTAATGTTAACTGGAAGAAAAACTAAGTCCATTTATAAGTAAAATACGGAAAAAATGGAACAAAATTTTAACAAAATTTCCTTTTAGATACTAGCTTTTAATCATAAACAAGCTTCTCTCCAAGTTTGGTACAAATCCAGGATAGTTTAAGAAAGTTGTTAAAATTTTAAAAACTTTAACCACAGAGTGAATGTAATGTTAACTGGCAGAAAAACTAAGTCCATTTATAAGTAAAATACGAAAAAAATGGGAATTTTTTTTTTACAAAATTTACTTCTGGATACTATCTTATGATCACAAACAAGCTTCTTTCCAAGTTTGGTACAAATCCAGGATAGTTTAAGAAAGTTATTAAAATTTCAAAAACTTTAACCACAGAGTGAATGTAATGTTTCCTGGCAGAAAAACTAAGTCCATTTATAAGTAAAATACGGAAAAAATGGGAATTTTTTTTTTACAAAATTTACTTTTGAATATTATCTTATGATCATAAACAAGCTTCTGTCCAAGTTTGGTAGAAATCCAGGGTAGTTTAAGAAAGTTATTAAAATTTCAAAAACTTTAACCACAGAGTGAATATTTGTGGACGCCGCCGACGCAGACGGAATGTAGGATCGCTTTGTCTCGCTTTTTCGACAAAAGTCGAAGGCTCGACAAAAATGCTTGTTTTTTTTCCCCTTTTTGGCCCCTAATTCCTAAAATTTTGAGGCAATTACCCCCAAAATCAATCCCAGCCTTCACTTTGTGGTATGGTACCTTGCAGTACAGTTTCAGAGAGATCCATACACTTGAACACAAGTTATTGTCTGGAAACTAGAAAAATGCTTATTTTTGGGCCCTTTTTGGCCCCTTATTCCTAAACGTTTTTGGGCAATTACCCCCAAACTCAATTCCACCTTTCCCTTTGTGATATGGAACCTTGTAGTACAATTTCAGAAAGATCCATACACTTCCACACAAGTTATTGTCTGGAAACTAGAAAAATGTTTATTTTTTGCCCCTTTTTGGCCCCAAATTCCTAATATTTTGAGGCAATTACCCCCAAAATCAATCCCAGCCTTCCCTTTGTGGTATGGTACCTTGCAGTACAATTTCAGAGAGATCCATACACTTGAACACAAGTTATTGTCTGGAAACTAGACTTAGAGGCTCTAAAGAGCCTGTGTCGCTCACCTTGGTCTATGTGCATATTAAACAAAGGACACAGATGGATTCATGACAAAATTGTGTTTTGGTGATGGTGATGTGTTTGTAGATCTTACTTTACTGAACATTCTTGCTCCTTACTATTATCTCTATCTATAATGAACTTGGCCCAGTAGTTACAGTGGAAAATATTTTGTAAAAATTTACAAAAATTTACAAAATTTATGAAAATTGTAAAAAATTGACTATAAAGGGCAATAACTCCTTAAGGGGTCAATTGACAATTTTGGTCATGTTGACTTATTTGTAGATCTAACTTTGCTGTACATTATTGCTGTTTACAGTTTATCTCTATCTATAATAATATTCAAGATAATAACCAAAAGCTGCAAAATTTTCTTAAAATTACCAATTCAGGGGCAGTAACCCAACAACATGTTGCCTGATTGGTCTGAAAATTTCAGGGCAGATAGATCTTGACCTAATGAACAATTTATCCTCATCAGATTTGCTCTAAATTCTTTGGTTTCAGAGATATGAACCAAAAACTGTATTTTACCCTATGTACTATTTTTTAGCCATGTCTGCCATCTTGGTTCGCGGGCGGGGTCATCGGACACATTTTTTAAACTAGATACCCTAATGATGATTGTGGACAAGTTTGGTTAAATTTGTCTTAGTAATTTCAGAGGAGAAGATTTTTGTAAAAGATTACAAAAAATTTACAAAAAATGGTTAAAAATTGACTATAAAGGGCAATAACTCCTTAAGGGGTCAACTGACAATTTTGGTCAAGTAGACTTATTTGTAGATCTTACTTTGCTGAACATTATTGCTGTTTACAGTTTATCTCTATCTATAATAATATTGAAGATAATAACCAAAACCGGCAAAATTTCCTTAAAATTACCAATTCAGGGGCAGCAACCCAACAACGGGTTGTCCGATTCAACTGAAAATTTCAGGGCAGATAGATCTTGACCTGATAAACAATTTCACCACCCTGCAGATTTGCTCTAAATACTTTGGTTTCAGAGATATAAGCCAAAATCTACATTTTACCCCTATGTTCTATTTTTACCCATGGCGGCCATAATGGTTGGTTGGTCGGATGGCGACAACAACGACGACGACGACGCCAACGTCATACCAATATACAACCGCAAAATTTTTTTGAGGTCGTATAAAAATTAAGCATTTAAAGGAAGGAGAGATGAAAAATATATTTTCAAAATAATTTTTTAATTGTTCTAAGGTAGAAAAATAAAAGAATTTTCTGATATGTATTTGCATTCAATTTGTTTTAGATTTTATCTTTTTACAAAAAAAAACCCATAAAATTAAGGAGTATATTACATGAAAGGTGACAAAAAAGGGGAAGTAACGCAATTTTATTGTCAAACAACTTTGAAATAGACAAATTATTTATGACCTTAAGCTAAGGTAATTGGTGTTAATTAACAGTGTGTTTGACACCAAAGCTGTCAAGTGAAACCATGCACTTAATGGGTCACTTAATTTGACAGTTAACACAGCTAGTTGAACTTCCTGTCCAGGAAGAATTATGAATTTGCCGGTATTTCAAAGGAAAATCATTTATGAAATCAGTCTAAAGGCTCAAGAATCCAGGTGAAAACGGGTCATTTTCCGAATTCCTGGGTTATTTAAAGACTGGCAGGTATTTAAAAAATCCCGTGTTTGGGTTGAAATTCTCGGGTGTCACACGCAAGATACGGATCAGTTGACAGGTATGAAATAGAGAGTACAGCACTTTCATTGCCTTTCTTTATATATATAGTTCACAGACCATACCTCTATAATAAAGTATAATTTCTTTCATTTTTCAAATGAAAACTTGTGAAATACGTCATCACAATTAAGTTGGAAAAGCCCTTTATGATTTTATTCTCTTAAATATTCTATGTACATTATGTCATGAAGACCAACACCAGGTCTGGACTGGGTTGTTGCATGCAATTGTTTGAGGTAACATCTTAACTGGAGCATTACCGATCATTCCCAAACCAAATATTAAAATCATTCACTTCAATTGGAGCAAAGAAAAGTTTGACAAAAATTTCCTTTAACAATGAGTGTTGTAAAATTTCAAACTATTAGCAAACAGGAAGTGGCTACACAGCAATGTAAAAATTGCTTACTCACTACAACTGAACATTATCAAGCTGAAGACTAAATATTTAATCATACATTCCCTTACAAAGAAGCAGAGAAAACTTTGACTT